GGAACCTTAAAAAATTGTATTAGTAATTCCGAGCCCCATGAGACCTCAAAACATATTCTTTAATAATTTCGAATCCTTAGAACCTTTAAAACCATTCTTTATATATTCCGAGCAAATGAGATCTTGAAAATATATTGAAGGATTCCGAGCCTTATAACACTTTAAAAAAAATGTTATTTAAGGATTCCGCGATCTATTTTAAAAAACATTCATTAGTGATTCAGAGGCCTATGCGACTTAAAAATATTCTTTACTGATTCTGAACCCTATGGAACCTTAAAAAAATATTCCTTAAAGATTTTGAGTCTTATACGACTTTGAAAAAAATATTTTTATGGAATCATTGAAGAGTTCTGCGACCTATGGGACCTTTAACAAATAATCATTAGTGATTCCGAGCCCTACCTTAAGAATATTCTTTAATGATTCCAAACCCTATGAAACCTTTAAAAATATATTCATTAAAAATTAATAGTCTTGAAAAATATTTTTCAAAAAATCCACGCCTTGTGGAGTCTTAAAAAAAATATTTTACAAAAATTCAATTCAATTTATGCATTTTTATACCCTTCACCACACTGTGGTACAGGGTATTATGTCTTTGTGCATATGTTTGTAACAGGCAAAAGGAATCGAGATAGACCCATGGTTCCTTTTGAGAATATGCATAGAATCACTTTCTGAGGCGATTTACGCATGTCCGTCTGTCCGTCCGTCCATGTATTTTTGTGAACAAAGTACAGGTCGCATTTATGATCCGATTTGGATGGAATTTGGCACAGTTCACTTATTTGGCCCAAGAACGAACCCTATTGACATTGGAGAAAATCGGTTCAGATTTAGATATAGCTCCCATATATAGTTTCGTCTGATTTTATGTAAATGGTTCACCAAACTCCCAATATTTGTCCCATTTGGACAAAATTTTGCACAGAGTACTGAATTAGGTCCAGACTGATTCCTGAGAAGTTTTTTTTTTTAATCGGCTCAGATTTAGATATAGTTTCGTCCGATTTTATGTAAATGATGCACCAAACTCCCATTCCATCTCAATGGTCCTCCAAAGATTCTATGTATGTTCTATCTACAGGATATTGGATATTGAAGGATATTAACAACTCTTGTATGTATCCAAGGTGGTGAAGGTCCCGTCCGACTTTTGAATTTTCCTTACTGGTTTTTCTCTGAAGATCTTTCACAAATCCAAATTTTATTTTACAGCTGAAACTCTAATTTTATTACACTTTAATATATTTCATATTTTCTGAATATTTTAATAACCCTTTCCAAAATTCTGATTATTTAACTTTAAAAAATTCCCCGTGAATTTCGAAGCAACCCTCTATGGGACGTTTGACATTGTTCTCATCGTAGGCAATGTAATGTATAACCAGTTTGTGCTGGCCATCCATTTTAACGGGAAATTCTATAATGGTGTCGACCTCAAAGGTGCGATGGCGAAGAACGTGCTAGAAGGAAATAAAAAAAAAATAGGATTACAATTATTTCAAAAATCCAACAACAAATTAAAAAACAAAAAATCTCCATTCAAACTTACCATATATACATTGAAGCATTTACGATCCTCCTCCAATATGTTCTTGGTCCATAGACGATAGTACAGATTTTTCTCATCATAAAATATGTCACAGAAATTATTGAAAAACATGGAGAAGGGAGTGGGTTGCCAAGCACCGCGTACATATTTTAACAGCTCTACACGGTTCTGAAATTGTAATTTTTTTATTTTTAAAATAATGTAAATTAAAGAATACCACTTTACCTCAATCCGATCGGTCGGCTGAACTCCTTCCCAAAGACACTTCACCTCTCCAGAAATTGTAATACTGCCTTCATTGAATTGAAACTGCAAATTTGATGTATCGAATAGATCGTGGACTCCATGGACATTTTCCATATCAGCACATTCATCGAAAATTTCATCATTTTCGAATACAAATTCATATTTTGTACCAACTGCAGCTACCAAGGAAATGGAAACCAGAATCAATACCGCGGGCAATGTAATCCATAGGGAAGGAGACATTTTGAAACTATTTGAATTTTTGGATTGTGGATTATTATTTAAATAGGAAAACAAGTCTATAATTTATTTACTATTTGTTGAAAAATATTCATATCAAATACGAAATCATTTATTATTGCATATGAAAATTATTTGAAACGGAAATAGAATAAACATTTATTTATTTTTCTCAAAACCCTATAATTTTAGATTTGTTATTTGTTTTAATTTTACCACAGAATTGCATGTTGAGGGGACAACTGTTAATAGTTGCTAAACATCGATTTGTCAAAACAAATATGTTTGAACTCATTGTGACCTTCGGAGATGGGAAGGTGAAATGATTTTTAAAAGAGGATATTAAAAAAATGATAATAATTTTCTCAGGGTGAAGGAGGCCTCTTAGCTATTCTCTTGAAAGCTATTCTCTGTATAGAATATTGTCTATAAAATGAAAACATAGTAATAAGTCTCATATCCGTAGAAGAACTTTGGAAGTGTATTATATTTATATGAGACCTCCAGTGGACTCCTCTATCTGTAATAGTTTTCTGGAAGTGTTTATACCCTTCACCACACTGTGGTACAGGGTATTATGTCTTTGTGCATATGTTTGTAACAGGCAAAAGGAAACGAGATAGACACATGGTTCCTTTTGAGGATATGCTTAGAATCACTGTTTAAGTCGATTTATGCATGTCCGTCCGTCTGTCCGTCTGTCCACGTTAAATTGTAAACAAAGTACAGGTCGCATTTATGATCCGATTTGGATGAAATTTGGCACAGGTCACTTAATTAGCCAAAGGACGAACCCTATTGAAATGGGGAAAAATCGGTTCAGATTTAGATATAGCTCCCATATATATTTTCATCTGATTTAAGGAAAATGGCGCACCAAAGTACCTATATATCTTTCGAATTGCACGAAATTTGGCACAGCGTATGGAATTAAGTCTAGAGTGATGTGTGCCAAGTTTCGTGAATTTTACATAGCGTACTGAATTAAGTGCAGAATGATGTGTGTTAAGATTCGTAAAAATCGGTTCAGATTTAGATATAGCTCCCATATATACTTTCGTCCGATTTTATAGAAATGGTGAACCAAAGTCCATAAATATCTTTCGATTTGCACGAAATTTTACATGGCGTACTAAATTGCGCCAGGTGCTAAGTTTCGTGAAGATCGGTTCAAATTTAGATATAGCTTCGTTCGATTTTAGGTAAATTATACACCAAACTTTCAAAATTTATTTCTATTGAAACATTTTGCAGGGGGTATTATAATAGGTCCACATTGATGTATACGAAGTTTTGTGAAAATCGGTTTAGATTTGGTGCACCAAGCTCCCAAGGATTGTCCGATTAATACAAAATTTGGAATAACGTGTTGAGATAGATCCATAATAACGTATACGACGTTTTGTGAAAACCAGTTCAGATTTATATAGAGCTCTCATATATAGTTTCGTCCAATTTAGGTAAATGGTGCACCGAGGAGCCTACGTCTGTTCCATATACACGAGATAAAAGTGCTGCAGCATACCAGACGCTATATGCCACGGTTGCTCAATTAGGTCCAGATTTGCATATAGCTCTATAACCATTATTTTGCTCTATTTCATACAAAGGATAACCAAAAGAGTTCGATTGACATACAATTTTTCATAGATTTCAGAATGGTATGTGGATGGGTTTTTAATTGGTTCAAATATCTATGTATATCACACATTTATTTTCACCACATTCCATTTCAATGGCCCTCTAAAGATTATATGTCTGTTCTATCTACAGGATATTGTATTTATTAGCATCTCTTGTATGTATCCAAAGTGGTGAAGGGTATCATATAGTCGGATCCGTCCGATTTTTGAACTTTCCTTACTGGTTTCTATGTACAGAAGCCCTTGAAGGGTCTGCTATACATTGGAGCTCATTTGATGACTCCTCGCTATATGTAGCAGAACTATTGAAGACCGTTTGCTAAATATATGTGATCTCTTGAAGAATTTACTATCAATAGAAAATCTCTTGAAGGCTCTTATATATAGAAGAGCCATTAAATTACCACTTGTGCATGAAAGACTTCCTGAATGATATTTTATATATAGAAGGTGCCTTGAAGCCTTTCATGATTGAGGATTTCTCAGCATCCATTTCTACAAGAAAGGGATGCTGCAAAGATATACTGTTAAAAAAATCTTTCAAGTGTCGCTTATGGGCGAAGAATTTTATTGACGTGAATATTTATTTTTTTTTTTAACACCAAAAATTGGCTTGCATTTCAGGGACTTTTAGACTTGGATTAAATAGTAGCGGTGAAAAGGATACGGTATAGAGTGTATACCATCAGAATAGCAATCAATCGGCTGAAGAATAATAAAGCAGCAGGTGCCGAGGGGTTACAAGCCGAACTATTCACAAGCAGCATGCACCAGCTGATTAGTACAATTTGGCTAGAAGAATGCATGCTCAATGATTGGATTGGAACCTCAGCATCATGTGTCCCGTGCACAAAAAAGGAGACAAGACGATATGTGCCAACTATAGTGGAATAAGTCTCCTTCTCATCGCAAATAAAGTGTTATCCAGTGTGCTGTGTGAACGATTGAAGCCAGTGGTCAATGACATTATTGGACCATACCAATACGGCTTCAGTTCTGGCAAATCCACCATTGACCAGATTTTCACTCTGCGCCAATTCTTGGAAAAGACCCACAAAAAACACATCGACACATACCACCAATTTGTCGACTATAGAGTCGCATTCGACAGCCCTATCCGTTCAGAGGTGTTTAAAGCCATGTCTGCGTTCGACATTCCTGCAAAATTAATACGGCTATGCAGGATAACTTTAAGTGGCACAAGGCCAGCAGTTAAAGTCGGAAAGGGCCTCTCGTAGCTTTTAAAACCAAACGAGGATTCGACAAGGTGATAGTTTGTCATTTGACGTTTTTAACATCCTACTGGAAAAGGTCATACGAGAGGCAAAAGTGAACAGAAATGGCACTCTGTACAGCAAACAACACACGTTACTCGCCTACGCCGATGACATCGACATAATGGGTCGAACATTGCGAGCGGTAACATCCACCTTTGAACAAATTGAAAAGGAGTCTGCCAAAGTGGGTCTGGCAGTAAACGGCGAGAAGACCAAGCTGATGGTATCAACGCGTAAGACGTCCAGTAGACTCGGACAAACTGTGGAACGTGAGAACTACGCTTCGAGGTAGTTAAAGATTTTATATACCTTGGTACCGCCATAAATAAAACGAATGACATTAGTTTTGAAATTCGGAGAAGGATTGTGATGGCCAACCGATGCTATTATGGTCTGAGCAAATAACTCAAAAGCAAGGCCACCTCCTGCCAGACCAAACTCACACTTTATGGGACGCTGATAATACCCGCGCTGTTATATGGATCTGAAGCATGGGTACTTGCGCAAACAGATGAGGCAGCTCTTGGAGTGTTTGAGAGAAAAATGATCCGAAAGATCTATGGGCCGAACTGCGTTGACGGTGAATATCGCCGTCGAATAAACCATGAGTTGTGCCAGCTATTCTCGGACATCGACATTGTTAGACGTATTGAGCTGCAGTGACTACGTTGGCTAGGTCATGTTGTGAAAATGGATAAAGATGCCCCAGTCCAGAAGGCATATTAAAGCGAACCAGCTGATGGTTCACGCAGAAGGGGGAAGGCCACGAATACGATGGAAAGATCAAGTCAAAGACAACATTGCCGAAAATGGTCTTTCCAATTGGAAAAACTGCGCAAAAGACCGACGCGCCTGGAAATCTTTTCTAAGCTCGGCTTATGGAACGAAAGTTCTGTCACAAGCCAGCTAACTCAACATAACACAAAAAAGTGGGGACTTTTCAAAATATTTTTTTAGGGACCACATATAGGAGTGGACTGTTTAAATATTATTCGAGGCCACAAATAGGCATTGACTTTTTAATATTTTTTTCAAGGACCGTAAATAGGCGTGGACTTTTTTGACATTGTTTCAAGGCCAACAAAGGGGTGGACCTTTTTAACATTTTCAAGGACAACCCATCGGCCTGGATTTTTGAAAATATTTTTTAAGAAGCCACACATCGTCGTGGATTTTTTTAAAGATTTTTTTCAAGGACCCGATGTCGACGTGTATTGTTTTAAATATTTTTTTGGGTCACAAATAGCCGCGGACTTTTTTAAAGGGATTGAGTTTAAAAAAATATATATTTTTTAGGCATAGATTTTTTAAAATATTTTGTTTTCAAGAGCCAAATATTGCAAAGGTATAATGGCTTTGTGTGGCCCAATAGTTCGTAACGATTTAGACATGTGTGCCCATCTATACGTCCATATGTCCATTATAATTTGTAAACACAAAGGCCACAGTTATGGCTCAATCGAAATCATGAAATTTTCTGAAAGTTAGAGAATAAAGGTGTTAGGGTGTTATATGGTAGGCCCCACCTATCATACTGCTCCAATCACTGGTTTTAATCTTATTATTTATTAAAAAAAATATTTCGATAAATTCAGAATCTCATAACAAATTCCCTACATGAGTAGTTAGCATACAGTTTGATAGCCACTTCATCGAAAAATGTTTGGTGTGCAGTGGCAAGACTATGTGTTTAGTCAAGACACAAACCAATATCATTCACAATAGTAGGCATTGCCACAACACACATTTTACTATGTTGGAAAAGAAACAAGAACAATAAACATTACTCCAACTATTGTGATTGAAATACACCGTCGTGTATAATTCAAAGAAATAGTGTAAATTTTGCTCGAATTTTTTAATGTTTTAATGTTAGAAATATATTTAATTTTGCCAATTAAATAAATATTACATTTCGATTTTAAATATTTTTATGCCCTCAGCCTAGTGGCTAATGAGTGTATATACCGTAATATGTATCATCGAAATATTGGTTCTAGACCCCATGTTTCTTTGGACCAAATCCCTTTGTGTGTCTGGTTGTTGCGCAAACTATAGGCTGAGTGTATATATCTGTCGGCAA